TTTGTCCTCATCTGCCATCTCCATTTTGCTTGTCCCCTCATGCGCTTCCTCTTCACAAGCCGAGCTCTGGTCATCCTCGTCCATGACTTCCGAACATCCGTCATCACCACCCTCAGTGATCTTATCATCAGTGCTTCCAGGGTGTGATGATCCCGGGTCTGCATCTTGGGGAGTCACAGACATCTCATCATCATCGGCATCTTGTTTCGGCTCTGTGTCTTTGTTGTTGGCTCGGGTCTGGCTTCTTTTGTTTCTCTCATTTTTTTTCCATCTGTTCGATGATCCATCTGTTCAAGTCTTCGCCTGAGAGCCGCTTCAGAAAGTCTGCATCCTGGTTTGCAATCATTTCTTTGATGCTCTGTGGTGTAATGTCTTTGCTGATGCTGCTGCTTGCTGAACCGAAAACTTTTTTTTGGGTTCCTCCTCTGCTTCTGGCTCAGAACCGGCAGCATGGCGATTCTGAACAGGAACTTCATCATCAGAGCCAACCAGGAAACGGAACATGTCAAATGAGTCATCAGTGCCTCCGTTGTCACCCTCACCCTCGCATTCCTCTTCCTCATCCTCATTCATCTCCTCATCATTCTCCTCTCCTTCACTGTCGCCCTCCTTTGCCTCGGCATCCTTGCACCCTCCTGTCTGCTCATCCTTATCTTCTTCTTCTTCTTCTTCTTCATCATCATCATCATCATCTTCGGAGCTCTCCTCTGGCTGGCCATCCTCGCACCCTCCTGTCTCCTCATCCTTCTCTCCTCCTTCATCATCGTCGCTCTCCTCTGGCTGGCCATCCTTGCATCCTTCTTTCTCCTCATCTTCATCTTTTTCTTCTTCTTCTTCTTCTTCTTCACTGTCGCTCTCCTTGGGCTGGCTCTTCTCATCCTTGAATCCTTCTGCCTCCACATTATCCTTTTCTTCTTCTTCTTCTTCATCATCGCTTGTGCCTGGCTGGCCATCCTTGCCTCCTTCTGTCTCCTTATCCTCCTCCTCTTCTTCTGCGCTGTCACTCTCCTCGGGCTGCTTGTTCTCATCCTTGAATCCTTCTGTCTTCTCATCATCCTGTCCTCCTTCTTCGCTGTCGCTCTCCTCTGGCTGGCTGTTCTCAACATTGCATGCCTCTTTCTCATCATCTTCTTCTCCTTCGCTGTCGCCTTCCTTCAACTGGCCATCCTTGCATCCTTCTGCCTCCTCATCCTTCTCGTCTCCTTCATCATCATCACTCTCCTTTGGCTTTCCATCCTTGTTTCCTTCTGTCTCCTCATCCTTCTCTCCTCCTTCATCATCGTCGCTCTCCTCTGGCTGGCCATCCTTGCACCCTCCTATCTCCTCATCCTTCTCTCCTCCTTCATCATCGTCGCTCTCCTCTGGCTGGCCATCCTTGCATCCTTCTGTCTCCTCATCCTCATCTTTTTCTTCTTCTTCTTCGCTATCGCTCTCCTTGGGCTGGCTCTTCTCATCCTTGAATCCTTCTGCCTCCACATCCTCATTTTCTTCTTCTTCATCGTCGCTCCTGTCTGGTTGGCCATCCTTGCATCCTTCTTTCTCATCGCTTTCTTCTCCTTTGCTGTCGTCATCCTTCGGTTGGCCATCCTTGCATCCGTCTGCCTCCTCATCTGACTCTTCTACTTTGCTTTCCTCATCATCCTTACTTTCATCTTCTGTTGTATCGACATCACCTGCAAGTTGCGACAATGAGTTTCCCAATGCATAAACAAAATTTTAATTCCACCTTGGTATTTGACGGAAACAAAACAGTAAACGCCAATCCCCCATTGCCAAACTTGGTTCCTAGTACCTGACTCGTTTTCTTCTTCCAGGTCGTTTTCTGGAATAGCTTGTGGGTCCTTAAGTGGAGCAGCAATCCCTTTGAAAATCGGAAACCGTCGCCAGCTAGAAAAGGTACTTGGTAGACCTTATATACGTGGGTGAAAGAAAAAATCACTAACAGCAAAGTCAAGGAGTCAGTAGCACCAGGTTGCCTTAGTGATGTGATAGGCCATAAAGGCCAGGTGAGATACCACATGGTTTTCATACAATGGATCGTGCGTTTTATATCTCAAAGTATCAGTTAGGAAAGGGAATATGTTTGAACCTAGCTACGCGTCCTGCAGGTCAAAGTCAGGAATGCTCATATCCATAGGCTGCGTTTCCATGTCATCCATACTCTTCCTGAGACCCCGGTGCTGATGCCAAAATGTGTCAAAACAAATTATGGCCAAGGGGAACATTTCAAAAAAAAATAAGGCAAGTTTCTTTGATTCTGCTTTGCGTTTCTCTTTTTTGCCGGGTGAAAGAAAGGAACACCCCTTCCTCTTTTGCTTTGCGTGGTTTAGGAGGACCTGCTGGCCACGGAATGCCTCAGATAAACACGTAGACCCCATCAACACCAACAACAAATAAGTAAGGATTGGTAAACTTACAGTGGCTAAAGAGTAAGGGATCAAGTTACTTGCTCATTGATCCAGGCATCAAGTTCATCTTCAGACTTTCCAAAACCTTATTGTTGGCAGGGGATGATGTTGGAACATGTGCTCACCAGGAAATAAAAGTAAACAATTTCGTATCAACTCAGTTGAAGACGAAGCCCTTTCTTGTTGACAACAATGTGTAAGGCTTGTCTCATAGAGTTCTCACGTAGAACTTTCTTGAGGGAGCTGTCATGGAATGCTGCTCGCAGCCACTGATTGGCACTAACGCGGATGTCTCCGCCAGGCCAAAACTCACCAGATCGTCGGATCCATTCAATACATTTATCATCGATACGGGCCATCAACGCTTTTGCCATGATCCTTATTCACAGTCATGGTTTTTAAAAATGAATGTTGATGTTTTTTCCCCACCTGCCAGGTGAGGGTTGTTAGATTTTATGTCAGTTGCCTCCTCCTTCTCCTCCTCCTCCTCCTTCTCCTCCTCCTCCTCCGCCTCCTCCTGCCTCGTCCTCCTCTCCTCCTCCTCCTCGTCCTCCTCGTCGTCCTCGTCGTCGTCCTTGCTCAACTGCGACCCGCGATCCACAGTGTTCTCTGCCGGACCTCAACCACGACCATCCACGCCCAGTGTTCCCTGCCGGACCTCAACCACGACCATCCACGCCCAGTGTTCCCTGCCGGACCTCAACCACGACCATCCACGCCCAGTGTTCCCTGCCGGACCTCAACCGCGAGTATCCACGCCAAGTGTTCCCTGCCGGACCTCATGTAGGAAGATATGGGACAAAGAATGTGCAGAAGAAAGTTAGAAAGAATGTCAGAAAGAATGTCAGAAGATATGCCAGAAGATATGCCAGATAGAATGCCAGATATGCCAGAAGATATGCCAGATAGAATGCCAGAAGATTTGCCAGATAGAATGCCAGATAGAATGCCATAGAGATGCCAGAAGATGCCAGAAGAATGCAGATATGCCAGAAGATATGCCCAGAAGATATGCCAGATAGAATATGTCAGAATATATGCCAGAAGATAGAGATGTGCCAGATATAGATATGCCAGAAGATGCCAGATAGAATGCCAGAAGATATGTCAGATAGAGTGCCAGAAGATATGCCAGATAGAATGCCAGAAGATTTGCCAGATAGAATGCCAGAAGATATGCCAGAAGATATGCCAGATCATATGCCAGAAGATATGCCAGATAGAATGTCAAATAGAATGTCAGAAGATATGTCAGATAGAATGCCAGAAGATTTGCCAGTAAGAAAATGTATAAATGTCATGGTGGGGATCACACGAAGTAAAGTAATTTCCCGATGAAACCCTCCAAATATGTTGTTGGACAAGGCTCTTCGCCTCATCATTGAAATCCTTGCTGCCACTCTTGCGCTTCGGCATGGCAGATGTCCAACGACGGAATTTCCTTCTAATGATACTTAACATTGTGTTGGGGTACCTTGCACCTCTAGTAACTCTATTACCTATCTGTTTTAACTTGGGCCATTCAGTGCCAACCATTCCATAGCTTTGAAGGCGTTGTACCTGATGCCCATGCCTTTGGTCGATCATTCCTACATGAGCCGGTGGCCAGGTTGCAGTGTGGCCATTGCGGGTGAACCTGGGCCCTCAGCGATCAAAAACTGAGATGCATGGTCAAGAACCCTCCAAACTACCTCTAAACCACCTACAAAAATAAGGAGTCCCATTGTGTTTTTTGGCTAAGGGGTCCCACTACGGCACCCGTTTGGTACCCCTGGTATATATATATATGTATATATAATTATATATATATGTATATATTATATATATATACATAGTATAGTATAGCTATGGCTATAATCCAATTCTTAAATGGGATAGATGCCATTTCCAGGATTTGCCAAGCATACTGCGACGGTAGGGTCAAGGCAAAATTCCACATGAATTCCATCTTCCTCATGAATCATCCTTCCATATCCTTCCACACTCTGGGGTGGCAAACTGTCCTTCTGGCAGCTGGAAATAATAGAAAACCATTCTGAAAAAAAAAGGAACATCAGGAAAACATCAAGATTATCCGGGAATCAAACATGTTACTGTAAAGTGGCCAAGTTATATATGGTCTTCCCGTGAAAACCTGAATTTGTATGGGATTTTTCGAAATTGCCACGTATGCGTACCAAAGTGTATGAATATGTATGAATGATTATATTATGATAGATCTGATAGATTGAATCTCCAAATTGGTGATCTTTTGCCATGGTTGACTTCAACTCAGGGTTGCCATGTTCTCTCGAAGGTGTGCTAGGGCCAGAGACTTGGATAGGCGTGAAGGCTTCAACCTTTTGGTCAAGTTTGGAAGTTTGGATCTTCCATGTTTCAACGGCATGGTTCATAGTATATGTGGGGGTTTCACAAATGGCGGCGCCCCAATTTTTGTTAGTTTATAATGGAAAATACGACTACAATGGATGATTTGGGGATAGCCCCATTTGAGGAAACCTCCATGTACTAATGTACTATAACTCTTTGATTGACAATTCAAGATATCTTCAACGTTGCTCGCAAGATCTCCCATGATTGACATCTTGCCAGGACCGAAAACCAGAAAAGCCAAGGTGCCGGGTCGGTTTTCCCTGAAGATCTGAAGATATCTGAAGTCTGTGTTCGTTGATCAATAGGCTACCGAAAGGCATAATTAAAGTTGTCTTATCTGGTTCAACCTTTGTTTAGATACTTTAGTACTTTTATATGTTGCTATTAATGGTAAAATGTACTAACCAGCTAAGAATTAGATTTGTTGGCAGGTATCTAAGAATTACCATGTGATAATCAAACAATCAAAGCGTTTGACCAGGCAAGGAGGCCTTTCCGCCAAGCGATGGGACAGGACAGCTTCACAGCAGGGATTTCCAGCCTGAAACCGGGAATGCCTTTGTAGTGCAGGTCGTTATTTGGAAGAACATGTTCTTTTAAGATTGATGTTTAAAGAAAAAAAACAGAGCATGAACAAGACAACAAACATAGGTTATTATAGTATATGTTTTTTGTTTGTATAATTGTATATTATGGTTGATAGTTTCATAGAAGCGTAAGAGTTTGGGAGCAATCCACCTTTCCACTGGGGGCATCTAACTTCCAGACCTGCAGCCGGCTCGCCTCATAAATGCTGGTTGTTCATTGCCAAAAATGTCTGAAATCGTGTGAAATCGAGTTTAGGCTGTCCTTGCAAATCAACAAATCGCTTGGGATTGGCCATTTCTTCCTATTTCTCAGAAAATCTGGTAAACCCTAGATGCCAGACACACTCCAGAATTTGTCATCAATCAGTCGACAAGTTTACAATTCATCCCTGGTAGGTCCGGTTTATGCATTGGATTGATCCTCCTTCCAATCAAACGTGACTTTATGGAACAGACATGAACATACTCCATTTAGATTTAGTTTGTGATCATGATTTTCATGCAAAGTACGGAAAATTAAAAATACCATCTAGTTTGTTGATCACCAATTTAGACTATTTTAGAGTTACTGTATATAATAATTCAGTTATCATCCCATTTATGGAATGACAATCCAATTTATAGGCATTTATAACCATTCATAACTGGTAAATTATAGTATTTCACTGACCTGAAATAAGGTTATTCCACCTTTTTCCATCAACAAAATCACCATTTTCTTCGTTGAAAGCCAGGACCAAGCGCGGGTGGCGGCGCGTCCTGCGAGGTGACGACGGCAGTGGAGGACCCAGCGGAGTTCATGTTCGCTGCGCAGATTTCCATGTAAATCTGGTGTGCAAATGAACATATATGGGTATGGATCAATACCTATTAATACCATTTTTAGGGGGATGAACATCCATTTACCAGCTATTTTGATGTTCACCAGGGGTACAAGGTTTTGACACACTGCCATATGAATAATGTCAACCCCGTAATTAGGGGGTACCCTCCAAATAGGCACAATATGGTACATAAATGGTGTCCCCCCAATTAAACAGCCTAGGGGTATATTAATCCAGGGTTGATATTATTCATATACTTATATTTGAACAAATTATAATATATATGGCTGTGTATTTTTTAAACGTGTGCAGATTTTAGTAAAGGCAGGGAATCATACCCACGAATCATCATACCCACGAATCATACCCCCTAGACAAACATCCCGGACCGCATGCGGCATTTTGAGACATACCCATATATATATATATAGATATATATTCAATTGCATATATGAACTTGTTTTTCGTAGACAAGAATGAACTTCTTCAGTTATTGAGTCTTGCCCTATTGTTTGTTATTGCTGGATATTGGTGGTAAACATTCCTTATGTTTGTTGCCACCCAGTTATATGTGTAACGGTTTCTGTTCATCCCATGACCAAACGTTTCATATACCCTAAACCCAAACGTTATGCAAGCTAGCAACTGAGACCACGATTGTTATATATATATATATTATCCATACTGTAGGTCCATACTATATGATCATATTAAATTCTGTTTATCTTTAACTATACGTATTCTCCCAAAAATCAATTGAAATTCACATGAATATCATTAACATTTCACTGTCATTATGATTTTTCATGGAATTCCCATGGATATTCCACGTGTTTTTTCAACATCTTCCCATGCCAGGACGGAGTGGAGCAGGTCACCTGTGTGGTGAACTTGCCGGGCCTAAGCTCAGCCACGGAAGCGAACCTGGAGGCACCGCCATTCAGTCCACGGTTGCTATCTTTTGCCAGCAATGCATACGAAGTTCATGGTGATTTCATGGTGATTTAGTGGGGATTTCATGGTGATTTAGTGGGGATATAATGGTGGATTTAGTGGGGAGATGATGGGATTTGTTGTGATATGAGTGATATTTCATATCCACATTGGACTATGGATATATTCTACTATTCCTAAAGATTCATGGATATAATCCTACTCTTCCTTGAGTTTGCGGGATTTCTCGGGCGGATCTACTGGGAATACCCCGTCAACCTATGGGATCTAAATGGAGACAACAGCCGGGTAACGACGACCGGGTGGAACGGGATGATGAATCCCAAGGACGTTGAAACCACCAGCCCAAATGATATTGATTACATAAGTCGATACGTGTTGTTTCGTTATTTTTTCCATGTGGTGATTCGTATGTATGTAAAGATATATATATATAGGTTGATTATGGTTGATTATATATGAGTTTGTCTACAGTATATAGGTAAGAGGATATCCATGGGTATTGTACCCCAAAATTCAGGGGTTGATTGTCATTTTCTCATTTGAGAAGCCGGGACAAAATTGTCATGCTGAAAAGTGATGCCCCCGGGTCGCTGTGAAATGTTTGTTGGTTTGCGACCACCATGAAAACTAGTGCAATACATTGCGATACAATGTCTTAGTTGAGATTATTGTATAATTTCCCAATTAATTAACCATACCCCGGCTCTCCCCCGATTCTGGGGCAATACTAAAGTCAATTAGGTTGTTTGTTTCCCCCTTAAATAAACGGCCTAAAACAAACCAACTTAGCCAATTTTTTTGGGCATCTACCTGCAGCTCAAGGTCAGCGAAAGTGAGTTGAGAGTCACCAGCCTCAGGCCCGTGCTGGAAAGGAGTTTTAGGGGAGCAGGGTGGGTTAAAATTGCCATGGTTTTGTTTTGTTGGACATATTTGGGTAGTCAATGGTAATCATGGGTCAAAAGTGAGACATCTACTCTATAATTGTCTACTCTAGAATTGTTTTAACTGTTTTGGCACTTTTGGTACTTGCCAAAAACGTTCTGTTTTTGTTTCTCAAAAGATTGTTCAATCAACAGCAAGACGTTGACAAAGACAGTTGTTGGCAGTTCGCAACATCTTGAATTTTGACCTGAGTCACCCATGTTCTATTGATAGAAGCGACGCAGGTGATTTACCCCGAGAACGAACAGCATACCCCCATATATTCCGTTTGGTTTTCTTCGAAGAAACCAAGTGATTGAAGATGTTTTTGGTTCAAAGCCAGTGTAGTGTTTTAGTTACTCATATTTAGCCGCAAAAACAAAACACATCACCTTCTGGATTTGATGGATGTCCTTGTTGTTTTTCCTTAAATCTCAATCATGTGGAAAACCCATCAAAACATCTATGTCTCAAAAAATATATTTCCCAAAATCACCACTTAAATGAGTGTAAACCATGCCCAAACGATCGTTTTTTTGTTGCTTTAGGCATTGCCACCATGGCTTTACCGGGTGATCCCCTGGGCCCAGGGCCGACATGCCGCACGTGGTCTGCGCCACGCTGCCGTTGTGCGTGGACCCCAACAGCAGCAGGGCTCGGTGGTCAAAGCGCCATCAGCAGCTCACGGTGCGACTGGAAAATGCGGAACGAACGATGGAAGAACTGGGTATGGATCAATAGCAATTAATACCATTTTTAGGGGAATGAACTGAATGAACATCCAGCTAAACCAGCTATTTTGATGTGAACAGAAGGGGTACAAGGTTTTGACACACATGGAAGAACTGGATTTGAATGGATTTGATGTTTCCGGATGAAGGCTCAGTGATGAAGCAATACTAGGGAAAGTGTTGTGATATGTGTAATTATGTGTATATATATATATATATTATAGCTGGTATAACTGGTGATAGAGATGATAGTTATGTGAAATGATGGTGATACAATTGATATAACTAGCCACAATAGGGATAACTGACTTATAAAAGTAACCATAATGGGAATAGAACATGGGATATGATATGATATAACGGTTTTAGTACCTGAACATGTTGGGAACATCTCATCATCCCACAGTTGATCAAGTATTCCCCGTTTTCAGACACAGCAGATAACCAGCATAGATGTACCGTGGTTTTTTCCCATTGCATTCCCTTTTGACCATCGAACAGTACGCTAAACATCCAAAGGATGAACCGCGGCTAGTGCCTTGTCCTGCAGATTTATTGGCTCGATTACAGTACTTAGGGAAATAGCTTCAGGTGGACTTGCAACTTGGCAGAGAACGATGTCAAACTATAACAGTAGCTGCTACAAGCAAGTGGTATAGCAACTCCCAAAACAGATCCAATTAATCCCTTTCCTCTAATATCATCAAATATCCCCCAGAAACAATGGTTAAGTAGGGGATTCACACATATATTATGGTGTGCAGAAAATAGGATCGGAGGATGGGATATGATGGAATTAAATATGATTAAATAGTGATAAAAACAAAATTACGTTCCTATCTTTCTAGGGCTTACTATCATTAATCAGCACCCCATGATGTTTGGGTGCTGTCAATGCCAAGATTTCTGGCGTCCATTGCAGATGGTACTGCCATAGAACAGTGATTTGTTGGGTGATAGGCCAATGAGTTTGTAATTAAGAAAAATCCGGCATTGCTCAGCATTCTTTAACCAACACCAGGCATGAGACATGGTAGGAATCGGACATGTTGATTCTGGAGGCTGGGTAGACCAGTTCATGCTTGTTTGTTACATTCACAATATCCTCTTGATGGCCTCAAACTCTTGTTATCAAAAACATGTTGTTGACCGACTCACCCACTATCCGTTCTACCCTCCCGTAATGAAACATGGCAATGGGAAATACCTGAAATCACGGTTTTAATAGACAAATAACACATCCATGGGTGATCTTCAATGTTTGTCCATTGGCACGTTTGATTAACAGAAGGTAGATCCCGGTCATTTTTCCCTTCAAAGAACTGAGGCAGCGAGCATGTTCCACCTTCTGAATGTGTTGGATTATGCCGGCTTCGTAGGGAGCTCAGGTCACAGATTCTTCGATGTCGGCCTTATGACCGTTGTCCTAGCATTGCCATAAAATGGCTTGAAAACAAGATGGAGGTTTCCATAAATGGAGATACCCCGAAATTGATGGTTTCGAATGTAAAATCCTATTAGATTGGATGATTTAGAGGTACCCCTAGGAAACCTCCATATCTTCACCATTGAGGATTGTAACATATTGTAACCCTCCGGTAGTGGATAATCCATGATAATCCTCCATTTAGTTCGATGATGTTGCAACTAAAACCTCCATCTGTATTTCCCATTTCCAAGTTTGAGCCTTGTGGGGACCCTCCAAACGCTCCAAAGGCCCCGACCTGTCGCACCTAGGGCGTGTTTATCCTGCTGCTGTCGAGCACTCAGCTGATACATGATAGATCACGGTACTGCTTCCCAGCTGCTCTGGCAATTTAATATAGCTATGCAAAATATCCCATTGTCCCATTTAGTTCTATGTTTTCCCTAATTCAAAGGGTAATTTCCACAATTGGCCATGTTGGCCATATTTTCCACAGGGTGATTTTACACTGAAAATAGGGTACACTGAAAATTCCATTGGTCAATCATCATCATCATAAATTAATGGATGATGAACCAGTGGAATTAGGACCAACCTATAAATTATATGGGTATGGGTCAATACCTATAGATACATTTTTAGTGGGATGAACATCCATAAATCCCAGCTATTTTGGGGTTCACGGCACGGTACCAGGGTTTTGACCCATCCGCATATGGATCATTCACCTATAAATAGGATCATTTTGGTGGTATACTCCATTTTTCAGACAGATCCATCATCCACTGATCATAGGTCCTAACTGTAAGGATCATCCCATTCGTACCGAGGGGTGCAATGGCTGCTCCCATTCCACAGCTGGCATCGCAGGTGGAAACTAGTGGAAACCGTGAATATTTTTTGGGGCGGATGGAGGTGGAATCATGAATGATCAATTATTGATCTTTTGTAATATTTTTGATGTGTATATAATATATATATATGTATATATATAATTATATATATGATCATATATATATATATATATATGTATATGTATATATGTATATATGTATATATGTATATATGTATTGTGATATATAGAGTCAAATGGTTAAATTACCGTAGGTACCTTTGAAATCGGCTCAATAAAAAAGGACATGGATCTTTCATTGTGACCTGATTTGTGTTGCTTAGCCGCTTAGCCATTCCATTTCAATCCCTTCACCATCAAGCACCCCCGCTCTACCTCCGATCTTGTCAGGTGTCCGAAAGAATAAGACAATTCGCCATGCCCGTGGGAGGACCCAGCGGCCACAGATGTGTGGCATTTCCATGTCATCACATCCACAATTGTTATATGTTTTGGGGGTTCAGGTTTCACTACAGACTTTTGGTGGCTACAAGAGCCAAGTGAATGACATTTTGGTAACTTCTGGACACATTCCGCAAGAACATCGCGGATGGCATACCCAAGGATCACAGTTCTCACTGTGAGGTGGGGAGTCCCATTGACACATCCCCAGTCCGGGAACATCCTGGAACTGCTATGAAGCGCTTAGCACGTTGACAAACTATGGCATTTTGGGGGTCCCCTGCTGTATGGCCAAGGAAAGTTATGTTTGTTGGTTTATGTTCACCCCCGTCAGTTCGTTATCCCCCCTTGTAAACTTATATAGAATCCACCATCATTGGTACCAACTTAGCATAACTTAGCTATCTAAATCTAAATCCCAGTCAAATTCCCATCAAATCCCATGAAATCACCAGAACTGTGCTGGTAAACGCGCTTAAACCGTTGGGGTCTCCCCCAGCTGAACCGATCCTGGGCCCCGGGTACTGCCTTCGGTGCCTCGGCGCCGAGATGTGTGCGCCGCTCTTCTACGCCTTCTGTCGGTGGCAGTGGCCGGGGAACCCGACAGAAAATCCCATTGGGATTCTGCCATTGGGATTCTCCCATTATGATCCCAATATGTAATGGAACAATTATATATATATATTATGTATTAGAGCTATATATATATAGAATTAATGGAACAATTACAGAGTACATATATATAATATATATATATTATAATATATATATAGAACTATATATAGAATATATCTACATGAGGAGATCACCGGATAGAGTGAATCTTTGATTTTTGCCCGACGTTTTGAAATGGACAGATTCGCCCAGGTTTGTGAATCAGACGTCATCGTTGTTGAAGGAGTCGCCTCAATGCGAGGATAAGGCAGGGGCCATGCACCAGAAAGAAGTGCCACGGGTATCCGAAGAATCTGTTGAATGGACCAAAAACGGGACAATATGGGATACCCTTTGGTAAACTAACATAGCTATGGAAAATCATCATTTTTTAACAGGTAAACCATCTATAAATGGGCCATTTTCCATAGCTATGTTAGTTTACCAGAAGGTAATGAACTTTAATTCACCAATTTAATCGATATAATATAATCGGATGGTATGAGAATGTGACATGTTAAGACATCTTTAAGGCTATATTAATACTGTCCTGTAATGAGACATGGCAAGCTGGAAAATCCTCTATTTTTGTGGAGAGGTCTGGGAAAATAATGTGAAGCCAGGTTTGAAGACCTGACGGTAAACCAAATCTGCTGGTATTGTCAATATCAGTCAATATCCCAAAAAGTTAGAGGACACTCTAGCCGCTCTAGCCAAGAATATCGTCCAGTCGCTGATTCTGATGCACATCCAAGTAGTTTGGTACAGTATCAAGTGATGACAAACAGTTTGGTTTGATTCCATTCTTGTCATCGTAGGGTATCTGCAGTATCCCGTAATTGGCTTCATTGTTGCCAGAGATTTGGAAGCTCAAAATAGAGTGATCTTTAAGGAACTGGCATGAATTGGCATTGAAATTGAAATCAAGTGGGGCATCCCCTACTTTTGGACTAAACCATATTTTGCCGGAGGGTACATGTATGGAGTCTCCGTCCAACTGGCGATAATCATTAATCATCCCCATTGACCTGTTCTTTGTTTTTTATTGGATACGTTGAAAGCACCAGGGTAGAGATGTATGCACATGTCACATGTGTTAAAAACGTCAACTTTTATCACAGAACATCACAACTGGCGTAGAAGTGGAATGATCATCCCACTTCTCCGGTCAGAAACCATGGATGTCCCACCAGGAGATTCCACCAGTAGACCCACAGACTCGAAGAGTTTCTGTCCCTGGCGAAATATCCTTGGCCCTGGATTCAGTAGCAAGGCACTCCTAGAATTCTAGAATTGTTACCGTAGACTAGATGGTACCCCACAAAATAAAGTAAACCAGGGCTAGGCTAGGGTTGTTCATATTTGGCTTTCTGTGACACTAGGGTATCCCCAAATGTTGTGGAGATAGTCGGATAATCATTGTCTATCCCATTAAAAATTTGGTGATTTGATGAGGTTCATCAAGCCTTTTAAAAGACACATCCATACATCAGGTATCATATTGGTTATACATCCCATTGCATCCCCACTATTGTCGGTTTATTTTATACCTCCATTTCTTCATGATTCATTTGTCAAATCCCTGTTCTTCATGGTCAATTCCCATCTAAATCCCATAATTCCCATCAAATCCATCCCATTTCTTCATCACTTTTGGCACATTTGACATGCATCCAGTATGATTCAGTCATTACCCTCTGGTAAACGTTTACATAACTATGGAGAATCACAATTTTTAATGGGAAAATCCACTATTTCTATTGCCATTTTCAATAGCTATGTTAGTTTACCAGAGGGTAAGCCCTATTTGTTGTGAGTGAAATCGTTAAAACAGACCCAGATATACCCAGCATCTCCGAGAAACGGAACGTCGGCAGGTGATGTACTACAGAAATCTCAGGTGCGGAGCTGGTCAGACTTTCGCCTACTGGATTGGTTCTAGTAAACATGGGGCTTGACGCATTGGTTTTACCAAAAGTAAAATAAATATTGGGACCATTAAACAGATATAACAGATGCATGTCAACGAAGGTGGAGTCGTCATAAGGCGTTGTGGTTTGAAAGTTCGTTGCAGAACAGAAGAGCCACAATCCAAAAGGGTGATCTAGCCATTGCTGACGGCCACTTCGATTCTCCATGGCATAGCATCCCTAGATCGGCATAGCATATGGATGATACTTGTGTCTATTTTGAGCCAGACACCTTTGGTCAACGGGATTTCCAGACCATCTTTTTGCATCTTTTTGCCGGTGTCCGCACGTTGGGTCAACTGAGTTTGGTGGGATTCAAGATCAGCCAAAACTAAATCCCAGGGGGTACCCTCTGGTAATGACTAACATAGCTATTGAAAATGGCCATAGAAATAGTGAGTTTTCCCAGCTATAAAATGGTGATTTTCCATAGTGCCATAGTTATGTTAGATTGTTAGTGGTTCCCAGGGGGGCCCTGCCTTCCTGGCCTTCCTGACTCAGAGTCCCAGCTCTCCAGGGACACTTATCTCACCTTCTTGCTCATGTTCAGCGGCATCATGGTGATTTGGGTGCGCCGGCCTTGGAGGTTGTACCGGTAGTCGAGTGGTTAGGAGCACCTAACGGTGACCCCAAAATTCCCGTAAAAAGAGATGGTTTAAGACCTCAACATACCGAATAATTATCCGAAAAATTGGTTTACAAGCCGGAAATGCACCTGAAAATAAGTGGGATTCATAGAACTGATAGAACTGAGTTCTTAGCTTGGCTGTAATAAATAGTAATCTATGAGCCCATCCCCCTAATATAAGACATACCGTAAATGTTCCAAAAGATGTAGTTTCGTCCCCTACTAAAGCATGATTTCTGGGGGGGGTTTAGTATGAAAGAGGGAAGGGATGAATATCATCATCTTGTTGGTTGATTCATATCCCCTTAAACCCCAGTAAATCACTTTTTGTTGGTTAAATCAGCATCAAATCACAATTGTTGTTGGTTAAATCAGCATTAAATCACAATTGTTGTTGGTTAAATCATCATTAAACCACAATTTTTGTTGGTTAAATCAGCATCAAATCACAATTGTTGTTGGTTAAATCAGCATCAAACCACAATTGTTGTTGGTTAAATCAGCATCAAACCACAATTTTTGTTGGTTGAATCAGCATCAAATCACAATTGTTGTTGGCCAAATCAGCATCAAATCACAATTGTTGTTGGTTAAATCAGCATCAAATCACAATTGTTGTTGGTTAAATCAGCATCAAACCACATTTTTTTTGGTTAAATCAGCATCAAATCACAATTGTTGTTGGTTAAATCAGCATCAAATCACAATTGTTGTTGGTTAAATCAGCATCAAATCACAATTGTTGTTGGTTAAATCAGCATCAAATCACAACTGTTGTTGGTTAAATCAGCATCAAATCACAATTGTTGTTGGTTAAATCAGCATCAAATCACAATTGTTGTTGGTTAAATCAGCATCAAATCACAATTGTTGTTGGTTAAATCAGCATCAAATCACAATTGTTGTTGGTTAAATCAGCATCAAATCACAATTGTTGTTGGTTAAATCAGCATCAAATCACAATTGTTGTTGGTTAAATCAGCATCAAATCACAATTGTTGTTGGTTAAATCAGCATCAAAACACAATTGTTGTTGGTTAAATCAGCATCAAATCACAATTTTTGTTGGCCAAATCAGCATCAAATCACAATTGTTGTTGGTTAAATCAGCATCAAATCACAATTTTTGTTGGTTAAATCAGCATCAAAACACAATTGTTGTTGGTTAAATCAGCATCAAATCACAATTGTTGTTGGCCAAATCAGCATCAAATCACAATTGTTGTTGGTTAAATCAGCATCAAATCACAATTGTTGTTGGTTAAATCAGCATCAAATCACAATTGTTGTTGGTTAAATCAGCATCAAATCACAATTGTTGTTGGTTAAATCAGCATCAAATCACAATTTTTGTTGGCCAAATCAGCATCAAATCACAATTGTTGTTGGTTAAATCAGCATCAAACCACAATTGTTGTTGGTTAAATCAGCATCAAATCACCGTCCAGGTGGCGCATCTGAAAAGTCCTAGCCCTAGCGGCTGCTGTGCGCGCAAAGACGCCTAGCGCCTGGTGAATTGGTGATTTCATGAGGAAAACCCATCGTTTATGTGATTTATATATATTTATATGGGTAACGATGAAACATATATGTGGGATTTTTATGGGGAGTTGTTGTTGATAACTCATGGTTGTTTGATTGTAGGCATCAATCATAGTCTAATATATTATAGTTATTCTAGCCCAATCAATATATAACTGGTTTATAGAATCTTAGACTACCTATATAATTTACTGGAGATTATGACAACCCATAGTAGGGAAAGCGGTTTCAACCAACTAGCATGATGAGATGGGATAATGCTTTCAGTAACCCTATCGAAATTGGTTTGTGAGGTGAATGGATGTAAACGGACCATTAGATGCAAGCGGACCATTTGAGAGAACTGCCACTGCCACTATGAAGTCTAGAACGTACTTCACACTTTATACATCACATATCTTGGTAAATTATAACGACCTCACTGCGACCTTACTGGGAATAATGGTTAGTAAGGGAGAATCATCCCCAAATGGCCTTGATTCAGGTTAGGGAAATATAATAATTTTCCTGTATATATATATAACTATACATATACATATACATATGTATATATATATATATACATAATCAAGTCTGAGGTAACCAAGGCAGGGGGTTGACCATATATCTATACTTATATGTAATCTTTGCACCGCATCCCTGCCGGTGGACACGGATCCACCGCTGCGCTTGCCGCAGCGGGTAACCCGCACAACTGGAACAGCGCGGGGCGCCGCGGTAAAAAACGAGCTGCGCACCATGTGGTGTAGATATGGACGTATCACATGTTTTTAACAGATCTGAAGAGATCTGAGAACGGTGTTTTCCACCAAGAGCTACTAGATCAATGAAAACTATCCATAAATTTGGAGATTGGATTACATGTTCGATATGTATGTTCCCAATAGTTTTAATCTAAAGTCCCTCGGGCCTTGTTGTAGAGCAACAGTCGGGGTGGTGTATAATGTGGCTGTGCTGTTCTAGACCACCTGCCACATGATACCAGCGAAACCTCACGTCACGTGACGCTGGAATGATGGCTAGTAGCGACAAGTTTCAAAATTCAGGTTTGTGAATAGTTTTAATTCAATGGATGATGCATTATCTAAGTATTTATTTTGCTTCAATTTTATAATGCCACGATATGAAACACCGCCAGTGATGCTCCAACATTGAAACATAGGTAGAATGGTATAACATGGTATGACTAGAGATTCTCCAACCATGTGGGTTTACACCTCCATTTTAACATTGCTCTGAAGGGTGACAACGCTATCTTTTATGCTTACATCACCAAAATCTCTAGAACTATACTGCTTGGTGGTTTGGAACATGAATTTTGTTTTTCCACATATTGGGAATAGTAACCCCAACTGACGAAGTCCATGATTTTTCAGAGGGGTAGGTATACCACCGACCAGTATAGATACCATCCATCCCCAAACCCAACAAGGCTGGGCCGGACCGTAGGGGGACCACGGCTACTCGCCAGGTGAAGAGTGCCTGTCTCTTCGCCAAGGAGAATCAGCCGTACCCGGAGGCGCAAGCATGTGCGTGAATTTGTCGGAAAAGATATCACAAAGATTTGTATGTGAATAGTTATAATATATATGGATGATGACCTCTATACAAAATTATACATATACCATATACTATACATATATCATAATATATATATATACAGTATATATATACTATAGACATATATTTGTATTGTGTCTATTCGATGAAAAGTTCAAGCCATGCTTCGCCAGGTCCCAGCCGGCTCCGTTCGACCAGTGGGTGGCTTTCGGACAGAGGCCATGGCCCAAGCGGAGGTTGACCAGTTGGGTGATCCTCGAAGTGATGAATCACAAGGATATAATTTGGAATTATAATCCCCATTCCAAAATACAACAGAATGATTTTCGGATATCCCACTGAATGGGGATTAATTGCTCAAGATATATCACGACACTGATTGGAATTTAGCCAAGAAATAATGGATATGGATATGGAACGATAGCTATACAAGTTGTTAGGGATGAACATCCATTTGCCAGCTATTTTGATATGAACAGAAGGGGTACAGGTTTTGACCCATCCCCAAATGGTAGTTTTATGATAAATTGGTGTATTTTTTCATGGTGAACATGGATGGAAAATGGATTAACATTGTAATTTAATATAATATTTAGTGGGATAGTGGGGGAACATGGTGATTATCCACTGGATTTATCAAACATATATGAAAAAAGGAATTAAAAAGGAGTGAGTCAGGCAAAACCATTCAACAAATTTGAGCAATGGGACCTGTACGATTGTATTTCTGGATAAGATGCCAATGTTTGCAAGTAAAGTCACAATGTTCCTGATGACATCCCCTTTGTTGGTATTTTTTGTTTGTGTATCCCCGTGGTTGATGGAAAAGTGATCATGTGTTTGTGGTTTCATCCTTTGTTGTCTATTTCTGGTTCGTTATACATATATATATATAGAACTATGAAAGCCATGGCTCATTTATAGATGATATATATATATAGGTAGATATATTGATTGATAGATTGATATATATATATTACCGTATATTGATATATCTGATTATATTGTAGATTTCATCACCATTATAAACATTATAAATCAGTACCATTCTAGATTATGGTATAAACATTATTATGGTGATATATCATTTACCCTCTGGTTATTTAACATAGCCATGGAAAATGGTCCATTTATAGATGATTTTCCCAGCTAGAAACCTCCATTTATGAGGGATTTTCCATGGCTATGTTAAATAACCAGATGGTATTTCATGATTATTACAGTGTGAGGCCCCCAAGATAGCTAAGTTGGTTTACAACTCCAATAACTATGGTTTATGGTACTTATAACTATAGTTATTGGGGCTTATAAACCAACTTATAACTGGGGGGCCTCACATTGTATAAACTGATTCATGTTGTTACCGGTCTTACCGCTCGCAGCGCTCAGGACCTGGTGGCACATGAGCAGAGCCGCTGGGTGGGACGTGTGGCCGAAGCCCTTTACAACGTCGAGGCCGCGGCGAACCGCCGTGCCGTTGATATGCCTGGGATAGTCAAGGGAAAAATGGGAGAATGGGAGAATGGGATGAGAATGGGATGAGAATGTGATTACCCTCTGGTAAACTCACATATCTATATATGGAAAATCACAATCTTTAATAACTATAATTGGGCCATTTTCAATAGCTATGTGAAATTACCAGAGGGTAGGTGATGATATAGTATGGGCTTGTTTAACGTCGGTGATGTGATCTTCCAGGCAGGAGACAACAGCACAGAGGCAGGTGACAAGAGCGGATGCATTTGTTATTTAGATGCATCTTCAATGGGCAGAAAAAAAGGCCAGTCCACAGATAGGGTTGTATCCAATAGGTCTCTCCTGCGGAGTAACATCAATCAAGAGAAGCCATGCATGACGGTGAGCACTGGGCCGTCCAATCAAGGTCACAGGATGCTTGTCGTTGCTTGGTTGCTTGTTTTTGGCAGTCGCTTGCCATGCTTTGTGTTTTGGCTCCGTTCCCGCGGTTTAAGCTTGCAGCTCCTTCACTGCTGTTTTTTTGGCGGCTGCGCCTGTACTTTCTGTTTGGCCTCCGTTCGCAGGGTTTGGTGCTTGTAGCTGCTTGGTTGCTCGTTATCAGCCAATTACCTGCTGGACTTGCGGTTGGGCTCTGTTTGCTGTTTCATATTTCTAACAGCTTCACGCCGCCGTTTGATGTTTGGTGTTTGTAATTGCTTCGTTGTCCCATTTCCGGTTACCTGCCTGTATCTTGCGTTTGGGCTTTGATTAAGGGAATATATGTGTTATTTTTTGGAGCTCCTCACATAAATCCAAGGCTATAGGGATTTCATCCTCTATAATGGAGACGTCATGGGCAATAATGTCATGGGATACAACCGGTATAGTAAGCAATGATTGGTGTTTTTGGTGTGGTTTCAATAATGTCAAGTTTTCAGCAATAGAATGTCCTATGTGTGGTTGTTATTTATGTATTTCGGCTTAAATCAACCAGCATAGAATCAATGCACAAGATGTTTTTGAACAACGGTCTACTGTGCTATACTGTACTTTGGAGGGACTTTGGACTTATGGAACTTACGATGAACTTACGAGGAAGTCACAAAGTTTGCTTTTGAAGGCTATCTTAAGTTCATCGTGACACACCAAGTTACATATGCTATAACATAACTTGCAACTATGTTATAACCTATGTATTTTCCATGTCCCTCCAAAGTATGACCTGTTTGTGTCTCTTTGTTTCTTTGTTTCTTTGTTTCTTTGTTTGTGCTAGCGAAATGTGGCAAACATTAATTACTCTGGTCTTTTTTGTCTGTAAATGCGTGGAATTTTCTTTGCCAAAAAAAAACATGGCCCATTTCCGTTGGATCTTCATGGAGTGTATGGTGTTCTGAAAATTGGGAATTTTCGTATTCCAAGATGTATTGTGTTTATTATGATTATTATATTTTAATGGGAATTATTATGATTATCTTTATGATTTTATGTTTTTCGTATTATTTACTATATTTTAATGGGAATTATCGTTATGATTCTCTGTGATTATGTATGATTATGAAGGATTTTGTATGATTTTGAATGATTATGGAGCAGGTTTAACCACCAGTGGATTCATGTTTCTATTGACCAATGGTATGTTTTACAGCATGACTCGGGGTAGAACGTCAGTGATACCATTGGAGTGAACCTGATATTCTCGATGAATGTCCACTTAACTTGGCATAATCCATTGGGGCAGATTCACAGTTCTAATTTCATGTTCGCATCCACAAATTGTTTTTGTTTCCCCTCCTGTTTGACCAGAAAGCAAAGTGGCTCGGTCAATGTTAATGTTTTTTTTGTTTCCTTCATTCCATCTATCATTTATTTTGTGGTGTTCTGCTGCACATGGTCACTCAATGTGCCCATTCTGATCCAGTCATTCTGCCGTCAGGTGCAAGTCACAAAACGTGGTGCCAGCGGCAGCGGCGCCGGCGCCCAGTTTTTTTGTCATCACCCGGTATAAACCAACAGCTAAATCCAATTATATAATGGGTATATACATTTACATACCATTTACTCGTATATAATTTATACATATTTATAATATAACACATATATATATATATATATACACACATATAATTACATACGTATATATATATATATATATATATATATTAATGATTATATGTGTGTAGAATCAATAATATCGAAAACATGAATCTGACAAGCTTTCCAAGAATATTTTTTTTGGCAGAAAACTGTACTGTAGATACCTTTTGTCATCATTGGAATTTGATCAGATCGCAGCTGTGGACTGTGGGAGGATACACTTGGAGGAGTGAATCACCAGTATACGGAGCTTGAGCTCTATAGGATTCTATACGCTTGAATTACATGTTGCTGCCATTTTTTATGGGAAAACTCACTATTTCTATATGGCCATGTTCAATAGCAAACTGTTAGTTTATAGAATTCTATATTTGAAATGGCTAGATCAAATACCCCTTACTTATAGGCAAGTCAAAAGGCGTCGGTTGCATTGGAGGTACGTCAACCTTCATGCCCCATTTAGAAAGTTGTGATGCTCTTAGCCTTTCAAAATGAAGAGTTACACATGCACCAAACGTGGCACACAAATGCCACCATGCCAAAATTTTGTTCACATGCACATGTAAACGTTTAAAACATGGATTCTATGTTGGTCATATGCGCATGCGGCCTGGTGATAATTTTCCCAGTTCTTGATGCGATGTCAGCCCTAAAACAAGGGAGACGTAGCATTGCGAGTGTGAACCACCCAGTCCTGAATTTCTTTGATGTTAAGCAAGCATAGCCTCTGGTAATGACTAACAGCTTTCTATTGAAAATGGCCATTGAAATAGTGAGATTTCCCAGATATAAAATGGTGATTTCCCGTAGATGTTTGTATGTTTACCAGAGGGTAGTTGCTTTTCCAGTCACTTACCAAACAGGAGAAGATGCAAGCAACAGCAGCATGAAAATATGGGAAAAAACACACACTATCGGGAGGTTGGCAGGCTGGATGTCATTTTCCAAAGCGGGGCATTGCACTTGGAAGACATGGAAGGCCAAACTGTTTTCTACATATGGGGGTTTCCTAAACTGGGGGGTGCCCAAAAATAGAGGGTTTCTAATGGAAAATATTATTCAAATATGGGGCAAGCAACATTCTTTGTGGCTTCAACAACTTTAAGTTCATTTTTTCGGGGTTTTAGTTTAAATCCCAATCAAATCCCAATTATTCTTGATTTTGTTGGATTTAATTTCTTAATCATCAATGGGTCAAGTCAAATGAAACAATCACCACCTGTGTCCCATGGTGGGAATCTGAGGTGGCCGAGCATTGGGAATCTGCCTCTTTCAGGCAGGGATGAAGCATCGATGTTGACTTTCTATGTTTTTTTTTCTTCTGGAGTTCATAGTCCTAAACCATGCATAAACCATGTATATTAAGGATTTAAGTGATTTAATGGCATTTGTATATTGTGATTTTTTTAAATAGAAATTCACAGACAGCCATGAATACTAAGGATTTAAGCAATGAATTGTGGATTTGTCCAAGAATCGTAGGATTCTGAGCAACAATGGTGATGCAGTAAGATAGATCCAACAGGATACTGGAAAATGCAGAGATCAATGATGGATTTAACCAAGCAAAAAAAGGGGGGAAGAACCATGCAAACATAGTTTTCATAATGGTGATAGAATCATTTATATACATAACCATCAAGTTAAGAACAGGGATTGAAGTGATTGAAACACTGAATCAAGGTGTCATGCAGTGTTACTTCAAATGTGGTACTTGGGTGGATGCCGAAAGGTACGGTTATTGACCACGTACATCCAAGTAGATCCCCAAATGCAATTAAAAATAGGGAAGAGTCCATGGTTGCGGTACCCTGTTGTCAGTCCAACCCAAA